TAAAAAAAAAAACATGTATTTCTTAGTCAATGGGAACCAAAATCTAATTGACCAACTCCCCCCCCCCTCCCCCTCAAAATCCAAATAAAGAAAAAAAACCTCCTAATATAACCTTTAAATACCTTGGAATTATCTAGTACCCTATAACACTTGCACCTTCAGTATTGAAGTCGGGACAATAATGGCAGAAGATGCACTTGGTATAAACTTTTCAAACTATCTAAAACCCTAGAAAGATGGAGATGGAGAAATGTTAGGAACCAAAATAACCGATAGAACAATCCTTGAAAGAAGAAACTAATACCTCAAAATAAAGTCAATGTTCGATAAAAGGAGAACTCAAGCAAACAAAAAATGGAGGCTTTAAACATTCAAGAGGGAAGTCAAGTTCATGGACGACAGTCCTTGGGATCTCAGTTATTTGTTCCTTATTGATGTTGCTGGCAGGCCTTGCCTTGTTGGCGTTAATTCTTCCATTGCATAAAAAAAGGTATAATACGGGGTAATATGGATCATTTTCAAAATATTTGGGAGCACTTAAGACATTAGCCAAGCTCTAAAACGCATTTGAGCACATTAAGGTTGTGTTTGGCATCGTTGTCATTTCTACTTGTAATGTTTTAAATTGATTAATACAATTTTTATGAGAATATATTTTTTTCTACCGCATATGTTTTGAGTTATTAGTACAACATTTGGTGCCATTGTTGTTTCTTCGAGAAACATCAAATTTGGTGTTTCTACTATAAATGCCAACACCCGATCCAATGTCCATATTTTTTTTAGGCTATGTTTGGTTTGAAGGAAAAAGTAAGAAAAGGAAGGGAAAGGTAGGAAAACCTATACAAGATTGTAAAGGTTTCCCTACCTTTCCCTTCCTTTCCCTACTTTTTCCTTCAAACCAAACATGACCTATTTCTCAAAAATTTGTATTGACTAACCTAAAAATGTTGTAGGTATAAGTGACAATGGTACTAAACACAACCTAAGACACGTTAAATGATATCTTACAGTTTCAGATTTGAATTAGTTGTTCATATCTTATAATCACACATAAACACAAATGTATTTGACATCTAACAAGCAAAATTTTCAAATGTTTCATTATCAAACAAATCCTAAGATCAATATTTATCAACAATAAGTCCTCAATGTGTTTGTTTTGAAAGCAAAGGAATCCCTTCCTTTCCCCTACATTTCTTTTTATTTCAAACCAAACAGAGTTGTCTAGTATTATAGCTCAAAAACTGCCTTTACCATCTTTAAACCCTCCATCTGTATTAACCTTGAAAGTCCTAGAGTTTGGAGGTTGCCAAAAAGAGTGATAACCCTGGTTAGGGTTAGATGCATTTGTAACGCTTGAGCAAGGCTTCAAAGTTTCGGTAATGAGCTACAATTACCTGTTCACATTCAAAATAATACCAGCAGAGGATTCATTAGTGTCGTTAAAGATAAAAGAGTTTCTATACTTCCATAAATTCTAGATTAAGTACATTTTAGTTCTTTGCAACAACAATTTGTTTTCCTTTGAGTTCTCGTAATCCTTTATCCAGTCAAAAAACCAAACCTCAAAATTTAAATCAGGTGGGTATCTTTCCACGATGGCACCAAAACAGCTCAAAAACTATACTTTTTTGGGCACATCATACGTATACAAGGCATGAAAGACTGCTTCTAGTTCTTTACTACATACTCTACAAAGGTCAAAATTAACCACTCTTTTTAGAAAGGTTTGCTTGAACTGCGATGACATTCTTGCATCACTCTAGATGAAGGTTTTGACCATGGGCTCTACCTCCAACCCCTAAATTTTGCTCTACGGAAGGGGGACTGTTTGAATTTGGTGAGAATTGGACCTTTATGCAGTATATGCCTGTTTCTTTGCTACATAGTAGGCCGACTTCACACTGAACCTCTTCTTACTGTCAAGGAGCCAAAGTAACACATCATTTCAGTCACCTTCTACACAAGGTTTATTTTGAGAACATGGGAGGCATAATAGTCACCCAATAGATTTATAATAGTTGTTTCATTCCAAGTTCTAGCATTTTGGTTAATTAATTCACCTACCCATCTTGGATCGCTAGGGTTGGATATGTTTTGACCTTTGTTTACTAGCCAACAAACCTCACCCTTTATCACATATCTCCCTACCACCGGGCTTTTCCAGCTCCAAGAAACAATTCTTTGGCAAATTGTCATTGAGGAAGTTCTTGTTTTTCAGATATCCACCCTTTATGATCTGGGCCCATAAAATGTATTTCCTAAAATCTAATCTCCACGCAAGCTTAGCAAGGAGTGCTAAGTTAAAGCAATGCAGGTCCCTAAATCCTATTTCCCCATCAGACTTGTTCATAGTGACTTGGTCTCGTCTCAACCAATGGATTTTTTCTATTTTTCCTCTCATTGAAGCACTAGCAGGAGTGTTTTTTTTCTTTTCTTTTCAGCAATTTGTCTAATTGTTAGCAAATTGATTTAGGAAGGAGGAAGTAGGACATGGTATAGGCTGGGATGGTTGCTGCTACTACTGCTTTCATTAACACTACTCTTTTCACCAAGCTAGAAACCAAAGTTTGTAGACAATCCCAAATATTTAGAAGGATGGTTTACCAATCTGATGTTAATGCTTCGAGTTAGGATCTTTTTAATCTTAGGATGCAATTTTGTGTTAAAGAAAACTTCATATTTAGAAAAAAATTACCTTCTGACCAAAAGCCCTTTCATAGCTTTTGATGGCATCGGCCATTGTTGTTCATTCTTGCAAAGAGGATTTTGTGAAGATGTAGTTGTCACCTACAAAAATAAATAAATAAATAAATAAATGGGAGATGGTAGGATACTGACTACCGAGCGTTTAATTTAACTATTGAAAGAGTGGAGGAAGCAACTAATTGGTTGAGGCACTTTAGAGCATAGGAGAAATAGATAGGGGGTGCCTAAGACACCCCTTAGGGAACAACCTTTATGATGGAGTTCCATTAACTAGAATTTGGTGGAGTTCCAATTTGGACCAAATCCAAAAGCTTTCAACACATTCTCTAAGAAGGTCCACTCCACCTTGTTGTAGGCCTTATTCATATCCAGCTTGATTGCCATCAAAACCTCTTTCTTTTTAGAGGTTTTCATATAATGGAGTATCTCATGTGCTATGAGAACATTATTATTGATTAGTCTCATTGGGATAAAGACACTAAGATTCTTGCGAATTAGGCTATCGAGGTAGGATTTTAGCCTATTTACTAGAATCGTAGCAATGACCTTGTACACAGTGTTGTAGAGGCTAATTGGTCTGAATTGACTTGCCTCCTTTAGGTTTATAGCCTTTGGAATGAGAGCAATATAGGTGGCATTCATTTTTTTAAGGATTTGGCTAGTTTTGAAGAAGCTTTGTACAACTAGACAGACATCATTTTTAGTTATACTCCAATATCTTTGAAAGAAAAGGTTAGGGAGTCCATTCGAACTTAGAGCCTTCTTAGGCTCCATCCAGAACAAAGTTGCTTCTATTTCTTCCTCAGGTTTCAGCCTCCACTCTCAATCTAAGGTCATTTGAAACCTTGTGATCAATTGCTAGGAATGGCAACGGGGCGGGGCAGGGACGGGGAGCTTCTCCCCATTCCCATTCCCGCAAAAATCCCCATCCCCGTCCCCGTCCTTATCCCCGCTAATGGGGACAAGGTTATTCCCATCCCCATCCCCACGAGGATTCCTATCCCTACGGGCATCCCCATTCCCCATGATTCTTTATAATGCTAACCATTTTGTTTTTGTTTTTTATTTTATTTAAAAAAATAAAAATAAAATAATTAACACTTACAATCTATTAGAAAATATTCAAACATATTTTCAAATATATTAATATATAGATGTATGTTTACATATTTACATATATAACGTATAAATACATATATACATATATATTAGTAGGGATCCCACGAAGCGGTGATTGGGGTCCCCGCGGGGCGGGGTGTGCTCTCCCCGTCCCCACTAGCGGGGATGAAAATTTCCCCATCTCCATCCACGTGGGGGGAAAATCATCCCCATCTTTGCCCCATTCGAAGTGGATCCCCATGGAGATCGGGGAAATGGGGAAAATTGCCATCCCTATCAATTACTCTTGTGTTGAAATCAATATCATTATTTGGGGAGTGTAAAGTTTTAAATACTTTACAAAAATGGTCAACCATGACTTTAGAAATCTCACACTGAACTCTTCAACCCAAACTCCATTTCTGTCCTTAATTTTCTCTAGCCCGGTGATAGCCCTTTTTTAAGGATTAGAAGTGGAAGAATTTAGTATTTCTATCTCCTAGATTCAACTAATTAATTCTAGATTTTTGGGTTCAAATCATTTTCTCTATCTTGTTCTAAAGATCTAATTGCTCTAAATGCTAGTGATCAACACGAGAGATAGAGGGATCAAGGGAGTTGATGATAGCTGCTGCAAATGGTGATTGTTGGTTTTGAGTCCCTTTTCCCTCGAGAAATAAGACTCAAAAATCCCTAACCATCAAAATGGTTTTTACTTTTTAAATGTGACATACGAAACGCTGTTCAGATAATATATATAAAAGTGGTTCAAGACATAATCGAATCCAAACCCATGGCCGATTCCCAAATCAAACAGTTAGACCATCTAGGTCAACTCCATTTTTAAAACCTTGATCATAACATTGCATCAAAAGCCATAATTTCAGAGTTTTAGCCCAACGCTACTTCAAGTGGAGTAGCCTTCCTCTAATCCTCTTCAATATCCCATTCTAATCTGAATTGGATGTGTACTTGATATAAAATCCAATGGATTTTGTTCGATTCGAATTCGAATGTAAACGAATGGATCTGCCTGTATAATTTCGGTTCGATCCGTTCGGAGCCTAAATAAAGAAAGATCACCTTTGTTCGGGCATAGTTATATCACTCGACCCGGTCCACTAGCCCAACCAACCTGTAACCCTAGCCGCGAATGGTATTTTAGGGTTTAGGGTTCCTATATAAAGAATATCGTCACTTTTTCCCTCCTTGTTGGTCGTCTTCTTGTTCTCTTCCCCCTCGCGGCATCAGAAGGGGAAAGCGACGACGGAGCCATGGTTCACGTTAGTTTCTACAGAAACTGTAAGCTTTCTCACTTCAGTACTTATCTTTTTCATTATCATTATTTGGTGTCTTTCTCCCAACCATCTTGCTTGTTACCCATGATTTGATCTGCTGTTGTTGTTGTTGTTGTTTCTGATGTTCTCTGTCGCTCTCATTCTCATGTTTTATTCCATCGCTTTAACTGAACATTTTCTTTAGCTTTGACCACTTCATCTGAAAAATGTTGTATAAGACCAAATTGTCTCCCATTATTATGGACGGGATCTAGTGAATTTTATAAGTTGTATCTTTTATCTTTAATTTTTTTTTTGATGTAAATGTGGGTATTGGACCATTTTAGATGGGAAGACATTCAAGAAACCTCGTCGCCCCTACGAGAAGGAGCGTTTGGACGCTGAGTTGAAGCTAGTTGGGGAGTATGGTCTGCGATGCAAGAGGGAGTTGTGGAGGGTTCAGTACGTTCTGAGCCGCATCCGTAATGCAGCGAGAATGCTACTCACTCTCGATGAGAAGAACCCTCGCCGGATCTTTGAAGGTGAAGCTCTTCTTCGCAGGATGAACAGGTACGGCCTTTTGGACGAAAGCCAGAACAAGCTCGATTATGTCTTGGCCCTGACTGTGGAGAACTTCCTTGAGCGCCGTCTCCAGACACTTGTGTTCAAGTCTGGTATGGCAAAATCGATCCACCACGCCCGAGTGCTCATTAGGCAGAAGCATATCAGGTATAAACCACATTCTGTTGGGCCGTATAATATCAATTATTTTCTAATTTATCCTCGTGCTAATATGTAATATCATTGAATATATGGTCTATGCAAAATTTTACAAATTTTAGTCCTTTATTACTGTTCCTGAATCTTATGTGGGTTGTACAATAGTCGAGGGTCATTGGAAAAGGTGGTGTGATTTTTATTTGCAATCTTTTGTTATTTTATATCACACCCACCTGTAATGGAAATTTGGAGATTTAAATGTATATGGTGGAACTCAGTGCTTCACGTTTACTTATTGTTTTCTAAGTAAAAACCATGAATTATAGGGTAATTCCCTAGGTCTCATAATACACAACAACCACAATTCACTAGTAATTATCTACAATCATCATAAAAACTATAAACTTCATATTTAAACATAGATAATCAATATATTCGGAGAATAAAATTCAGAGAATAGAGGGACAGGGGCCCTAGAATATAAAAGTAATTTAGTTTAATAATATCTATATTATTATTATAATCTCCATAAAAGAATATATAATGGTTCCATGTACAAAATAACTAGGCACTCAAGTGAGGCTACTTTATTGGGCTATTTTTTTGATAAATACTTTATTGGGCTATTTTTTTTTGATAAATACTTTATTGGGCTATTTGTTGCCCAGGCATTCCCTTGACAACTATTACGTGATCAGGTGCTTGTACACTTGGTAACTGTCATATGCATGTTTTGGTCTGATAGATGTCAAAATGGATCAACAATACTGAATTATATTAAGGTGTTCTCCATGAGTTATGTGTACTGGAGGTGCAGTGAACTATCACTGTGAAGCTTTATAAAAAGCTATATTAACAAGCATAAGTTAAAGTTTCCAGGCAACCTTGAAGTGTTAGTTTCAACCATGGAAAACAGTCATGCTAATATTGATAAACCCTGATTATCCTTAACATATGTTATTGATTTATACACTTTGACAGAGTCAAATTCCATGCATGGATGAATGATGATGACCATGATCATTAGGTTTTCAACAAAGTAACCTGACCTGCTTATATACTTTTTTGATTATACATTGGGTTGTTGAGGTAGGTGTCGAAATGCAATGTAGTGGCGTTGAACTGTAATATGATATTATGTGTATATACAATATGTCTTCGTTCATTTCTGCGTGTATGCATGCATGCTTAATGAATTCTATATGCTGTAGTTATGCAAGTGAGGAGTCTTAAAGTCTAATCGGAAGAAACCTTTAAGATGGTCTTAAAATGTTACTAGCATAAGAACTGATATGAAAACTTATTAGTAGTATATGTTGCTCCTTATTTTAATTCAAACATGCAATTGAGGAACACAAATATCATCATCATCATCATCCAAGTGTTATTCCAACTATATATGATATGCTACGTGAATTGTGTTTTTGCTCTTCTGTTCTGTTTGAAGCCATATCCATTATTAAATAATGGTGTCTTAAAATCATTACTGACTATTTTTATCAAGTCCTTTTTGCACTTCCCCTAGCCCTTGAACCCTTCAAGCCTTTTGAACTTTCAGTGGATTGCTGTTTCTCCCGGGTGCTGGTGCTGGTCTTTTATGCATGGGACCAGACCTTCTTAGTCTCCTTTCTCTCATTTAATCATGTATTGGGGCTACTACTTTCTTTTGAATGATTGAGGGACAAAAATATACCAAGGATTAAAACAAGTAATGTAGTGAATGTTTCTTTTGATGTCAATTTTATTTACGACCATAGGATTCTCTCCAGTCAGTATTGATTGGATGTATATGTACTGAATAATCATTTGTTTTTAATCTTGTTCTATTGTTTTACATGTTTCATGTAGCGTTTTAATGTACAGTGTAATTCTATATTTAAGGGGATCATAACTATTTTGAAATTTAGTTGTTTTTCCCTCTTTAATAGTTTACTAGGTGTCATTATATATATGAAATGAAGTGATGAAAGCTTGGTTGTTGCATTGGCCATTGACATAAAACCCATTGGAGGTCTGCCTCATGGTGCTTTGAACAATTGGAGTTTTGGATGAGGCAGAAGTGGAAGAAATAGTTGAATTATGCTTTGATCAGGATTTATAGCGACTTGTGCATTCATTGTAGGCCTCAAAAAAATCAGTTCATCTTAGCTTGTAGGACAACAATAACTGAGCTAAGATATACAGAGTGATTATGTATCTTATTTATACCTTCAAAAAATGTTGTCTTCCAGGATTTGTGAGTGTGAGTGTGAGGGTATTTTATTGAGGCTGGGTGTTCTTCGAGAATTGAGAATGGACTTCATTGGGGGCACTTCTAGGAGACAAAATTTATTATGGTTCCATTGTTTATTATCCTATTGTTGCAGCATCTTTGTTATGTTTATTTTTCACCAAGTAGCATCATTTCCTAGTTCTCACAGAAGCCAGCTTGATTACATTTTGGATATGGAGCCTAAACTTTTCAAAACAAGTTCTCAACTTGCATTTCCGTTTTTATATGGATTGCCAAATAAAGTTGTATTATCATGAGTTTCCATTTGACTGCATTTTCTTCTACATTTTGAGTGTATCTAAAACTTTTTGGTAATCTGATGCTTCTTATATATTATTTTTATTTTAAAGCATTAGCTTTTCATAATTTTCCTATTCTGCAGAGTTGGTAGACAGGTAGTTAACATTCCATCATTCATGGTGAGGGTTGACTCGCAGAAGCACATTGATTTCTCTCTCACTAGTCCACTTGGTGGTGGCCGCCCTGGAAGAGTGAAGCGAAAGAACCAGAAGGCAGCTGCCAAGAAGGCTGCCGGTGGGGATGGAGATGAAGAGGATGAGGATTGAGTCTCTGTTAGATCCACTTAGAATTCTTTTTTTCTAAGTGGGTTTGAGCCTCTGTTTCATATAACATGTTCTTTGTCTCTCTTAGATCCACTTTGAATTTTTTTGGGAACGTTGAGTTTAAGATGTCGGAAGTTTTGGTTGCACTATTGTCGCATTCCTTCCTGATTGTCACAGTTTAGAAGAACGTTTTGCGTTGTTATTGTTTGTTTTTAAGTTAAAACTTCAAACACATGTTCATTTTGATCAGGTCATGAGAAACTGATGGTATGGTTGAATAGTTAACTTCTTGTTGTTACTTCGCAGAGGTCATAAAACTTTGTTATTTGGCACTTTTGGCCATGTTAATTTTTTCGTGGTAGGAACTAGGAAGGACAACAGCCCATACAATCTGAAAAATAATATAGTTTGAATCCATGGAATGGTTGTCTCCCATCATTAGGGCCCTGTTTGGCAACGTTTTGCTACTGTTTTCCCTGTTTTTGGCATTCTTGTCGACCAAAAATGCGTTTGGCAAAAAAAGTGAGAAATGGATCATTCTTGTGTGAGAAAAGCTCTCTTCAAGAGTGACAAATTGACTCTTTCAGGCATCACGTTCTAGGGAATGTGTGGCTCATATGTCCTAGTAAATTATGAATGTGTGACCAATTTTGTCATTTTCATTCAAAATGAAATCTCTAGCTCCGGACAAGATTCCTCGTTCATTCACCCTCAATTCTACTGCAGCACAACCCAGAGAGTTGAATGTTGCTACTGCATCAAGGGCTAGACGGCGAATGACTAGAAATGGCCAGAATCACTTACACGGGTGGTTGTCTTCTTGTAGTTTCTAAGTTTTAGACATGCCGATGCTCTGTTTTGCGATCCATTCGTCTGTTTCTCCCAACCTGAATTCTTCGACAATCCTCCCTTCTCTACTTGTTGCTGAACTTCGATCCTAGTTGATCTGGGTTCCTTTATAGTATTTTCGTTTTTTGTTGAATAATATGAAATGTGGGATTCTGTTTTAATTTGTTGTATCGGATTGAAATGTGCGGTTCTATTTTTCGTGTTTGAACTGATACCCAACGTTAGTATACTCATGAATTTTATTGTTGCACCTCGATATTGCAAACTCATTGATAGCTTTCTCCGGCACTGGTTGGCATTATCGGAGGCCTGTCTTTAGATACAATTTAAGTGTGATTTCTACTTTATAATATCAATCAAGTAAAACCTCAAATTTTGATTTTTGGATGATTTAGTAGGCTAATGAAATAACCACTGTTTTCAAAACCGGACCGGATGGTTGGACCAAAAAAACCGGGAACTGGTCACTTGATCGGTTCCGTTTTTTTCAAAAACCGCTTTTTCTCCTAAAACCGTTGATTTTGGTCAGCAAACTGCTGAATCGGCCGATTAATCGTTCGAACGGTTTTGACCGTTTTCTAATTTTTTATTTATTTTTATTTTTTTCAAAATAGACCGGCTGTTCGGGTCAAATGGTCGGACTGTTAAAACAGGTAACTGGACACCTGACCGGTTCGTTTTTAAAAACCATGGAAATAACAGTAGGGAAGACTTGAACAGTTCAGACTTTACAACAATTGGTAATTACATTGACTAGATCCAACTGGGAAAATGATAATTCTGATGAATCTCCTCCAATAGAAAAGTTGAACTTTTCTTCTGGATGCTGCAAAAGAAAGGTGGATTTTCACTAGTTTTTTCTGGATGCTGCAAAATATTGGATGTCCTTAACTCACTGATATTTTACTCTAACCAAAATTACAATATTTCATTGACTCACAGTTGGGCTGCGGATTTTCATTAAACGTCCATGAATTAAGCTCAAAATTCTTTACCCATCTTTCCTTTGTTTTTTATGAATCTTTACCCAATTTTTCTAAAATATAAGCAGTACTCCAAAAAGATAGTAAGAGAATAAAAAAGAAGAGCTACTTTGAGATTGTACAGATCACATTACAAGTCCTTGTAAAATCAGGAGCAATCTCAAATTTCTGTGTTAAACTCCCCTTAGTAACCTCCCCCTACAAACAACTTAAAAATGAAAGAACACTGTGAATTTGATAGTTATTTTGTTCATTGGCTACCAAATGGCCAAATTTTTTATGTGAATGTGTTCTTTTTTTTTTTTATTTTCTAGTTCATTTGATAATTAAGAGCACTGTGAATTTGAGGTATTTATGGCAAGGTTTTTAAAACCAACCTGGTGACCAAACCGGTCAGGGGTCCGGTTATTGGGTCGAACGGTCCGATCATTCGAACAGAACGCTCGACCCATTTTGACAAAAAAATAAAAAAATTTAAAAAATACGGTCAAAACTGTTCAAACGGTTAACTGCCCGGTTCAGCGGTTTGCTGACCAAAATCAACGGTTTTGGGGGGTAATCCGGTTTTTGGGGAAAACGAAACCGGTCACCTGACCGGTTCCCGGTTTTTCCGGTCTGACCGTCCGGTCCGGTCCGATTTTGAAAACCATGATTTATGGTTAATTTGACACTTGTTTTTTGTTAATTTTAAGCTTAATGGGGATGGATTTGCAGAATTAATTTTAAAAAATAGTTTCATCATCCAAACATTGTTTCTGTTTTTGAAGAACAAAAATCCATTCTCGAAAAATAGATTGCCAAACACATCTGTTATTCCCAAGGAACAAGAAATAAAATTCTTATTCTAGAGCAAGAATTTCTAAAAGAACAAGAACATGTGGGAATGTTGCCAAACATAGCCTAGATTTCTGGAGGGACTCTTGTTCGCAAGCCTTTTGGTTGCCAACCGTGAATGTGCGAGACCAATCAAGGGCTGGCTCGTTGGTGTATTAGCTGGGTTGCTCCAGCATTGACGTGGAATCAAGTCTTACAACCAGCACTTTGGAAAAAAAAGGGTAAAGGAGAAAATTATGGGTGATTAATAAAAATAAGTTCTGTATCATGATCTCTAACATTCTTCCTTCATTCTGCCTGTGCTACGTCTCCAAGTGGTCTTGTCTTGATTTTGTATTGCTCTCATTGTTACTATTGAGTCTTCTTTTCTAATCCATTTAAATTGAAGATGTCTTGTTAATTTGTTGGTTTTCTTATCTTCTCTTATTTCGGCTATTGTTACATAACCCCATGCAAGCCTTGATTAAATGATGCTTGTAATTTCTAGTATTGCATCCAGAGTGCTCACTTTCCAACTTTTTCTTTGTGCAACCAAATTTATTTTAATTTTATTTTGTTTTGGATGTTCTGTTTAATTCATTAGATGTTTTTCGTTTCTTTTCTAAATTTTCTACTGTTTGCCTTAGAATAATAATATTTTGGGTAAATTTTTAAAGTATCCTTAAAGTTTAGAAAATTGAGTCAATTGACTACTGTTTACATATTTGTATTAAATTATTCTCAAATTTTTTAATAATTGTCATTGTCATTAAATCTTGAAAAATGATAAAATGTTAATTTTACCCTTTTCGTTAAATCCTATTTCAAAAGGATATCTGCTGCAGTCTGGAGAGGAGAAACTCCATTGCTTGCAACTGTTGCAACTTCCGGCCGTGACTGGCGGTTTGACAATGCATAAGACATTGGGAAGAAGAGTTGTGCAACTCCTCATGCCATCTTTCACTAACATCAAAGAGATTGCTCTCAAGACCACCCCTTCAGCTTCATAGATATGTAATTATTGATTAAAAACATAGTAAATTATGAACATGCTGACCAGTACGAAGTTAGTAACTTTTTTTTGTGAGATTGCTCATTGTTTAGGCTAAATTAAGAGAATCGTTATTTATACCAGTATATACGAAGATCTGAGTAGGATGACTGCAAGACAAGTCAAAACCATAAAATTTCATTTGTTTTCATTTAAATTCCTCGTCAACATAATTGTGTAGGCAATTGGATTAAGTAGAAACTATACATAGAGAAATGTTAAACTGTTTTTTGAAGGGAACAATCATCATAGGTTCTGAAAATATCTTTATTTGTTAGTAGAGGTAACCGGAGTGTGTGGAGTGCGAGTATCTAAATATAGGTTACATTTAAGCATGGTTTTCAAAACCGGACTGGACCAGAAAAATTGGGATCCAGAAAAATCGCTGACCCGGGTGATTGAACCATTCAATGGTTTGATCATTTTTTATTTTTTGTCAGAATGGGCCGACCGTTTGATTCAAACGGTTGGACCATTCAACCCAGGACCAGACCTGACTGGTTCATTGTCTGGATCGGTTTTAAAAACCTTGCATTGAAGTATATAATATTTTAGCCTTTTGGTAACATGCTCCTCACAGATCATAAACACTACAAAACAACGTTTTTGAACCGTCATTGACTTGGACGGTTGGACCGTTTGGACCAGAAACTAGTCACTCGAACGGTTCTATGTTACCTCGAATTGTCATTTAGCGAAAAAACGTTGACAGTAAAAAAAATCGTCGACTCGGCCGGTCGAACCGTCAACCCGTTTGACCCGACCAATGGTTAGCGGTTTGGTATTTTATAAATTCTATTTTTTTTTAATTTTAAAATAAAAATAAAACAAAAAATAAAATGCCAAGTCTATCCTAACATCTAACCTTCGAAAGTCTTGTCTAGTTAGCCTCTTAGGGTTTTGCTTTGCCAAACCCAAAACCAAAAGCCTTCAGGCGGTGATACACTGGCACCACCCTTCCCAGAATCCGAGCTACAGCCAGCGACTAAAGCTTCATTGTGGCTGTCGGCGAACACTATGAAACCAAATGCTTTCACTCTTTCTTAACTGCATCTTGAAAGGAACGGCTCCGACGATTATCTTCATTGCGGCTACCGACGAACACTGTGGACTCCAACTTCCGGCGACTATCTTCGGTTCTTCACTGCAGCTGCCAGCGAACACTGTAATTTTTCAGGTAACTAAGTGAGCCGGTGACCACTGTTCAGTTCTGAACCATTAACTTGTTTAAGCCTTTTGTTCCTCATTTTGTTTTACCTATTCTCTTCATTGTATTAAACAAAAAGTGAAAAAACAAGCAGCTCATACTTTTTTGATTGGAATTTTCTTTTTGTAAAGCTACAGAAAGTTATATCTGAGAACGAGTATAGGACCTATAGGTTCAGATTTGATTATCCTTGTACAGGGCTTAGTACTTTTTTAATATTTTTAATGAAATAAAAAAAAAGTATTGGATGCTAGGTGGTGGAAGGTATGTTCAGCTGGTAAATTTTATCTAATGGCTTTGTAATTTTCTGTATTTTTTTTGTATTTTCTGGATTTTATTACTTTTATATTTGGATATTTTTATTTTTTCATATGTTGTTCTTTTTTCTGTATATT